CATCCTTTTAGGTAATGAATCAACAACTTACGCTTTGCAATATACCTTATAATGTGCTATTAAAATATTTGCACTTATTCCTACTTATCGTTTAAAAATACTTTTTATAGTAACAGTATATTGTTGTTATGGTGATTAAGATTGTAACACAATGTTGACTGCTTTACCCTAACTTTTGATATTTTTACCTATAATCTATGTTAGTTTTGCTCACACATTGTTGTCAATATAATAAAATTCTCTGAGACTGTCATACAAGTGGAGAAGTGTAGCTAGCTATACAACCAGATTACATTCACCATTTATACATAAGGAAATGCCTGTACCAAGTCAGGAATATGACAGTTGTTTTCCATTCGTTTGATGTGTTTGAGCTTTTGATTTTGCCATTTGATGAAGGACTTTCCGTTTTGAATTTTACTTGGAGTTTTGTTATTTTACTTATTTTGTAATATTTTGATCTTCTTCTTCACAAACTCAAAATACTGAACATCATGGAAGATACACATACATGCTTTATTTGGCTTTCCACGTCGCAAAGAACTCAATTCTGAAAGGAGTGAAACTAGCAAGTGGATTATAATAGACTATTTGTCCAAAAAGTAACAGACAACGTCGTGGCCAATAAGTAAAATTAAGATGAACAAATAACAATATCAAAACGTTACACTGAACACTAAAAATTCAGCATCACGAACCCCATCCCAAAAAACAGTGGTGAATTCAATTACGTTTGTTATTTCTATAACGCCTAATGCTGTGACAAAAAACCACTATTGCGAAAATGTCTTCTTCAAATTCAGAACTAATGTGTCTGTTTTGTACATTCATAAGATGATTTGTAATAAAACAAAATAGAAAAACAAAACTTAATTCATTGTGATGTGGTTACCTTTTAATTTTATAAATACATTATATAAAGTATAATCATCGACTTTACAATGAGGCAATTGTAATCAACAGAGAAAAATAAACAACATCATGGACATGCAGGAAAACGACGACAAAGGAGTAAACATTCTACAACTTTACAGAATACTAAATATTGAGCAAAATGACCATGATGACATCAATCAAAAACCAGGGGTGATCTCAGTTGCTCCGAGAGAGTAATGCATAACTGAGCTGATATAACTTTAAGTTTCTGTACCATTACTATAATACGAATACATGTAATAAAAATCTATAGAGCATTAATAAAATTGAAGTTCATATTAAAAAGACATTCAAATACATATAATGATTTTCTATCCAAATATTTATGGTATTTCCGAAACAGTGTACATTTGCCGTGTGACGTCGACTACTGATTATCTTTTTGCAGTTCATTTTTGTTGGCAATGTATTTTTTATATTTCAGCCGATAAAGGTTTTTATTGCACCTTAATTTTTATATCTTCTCTCCATTTTAAATATTAAAATATAAAAACGTTATCAGCATAACAACCGTTCGATTGAAAATCCGATCTGAGTTTCATATTTCTGTACTGTTATTAGTATTATTAAATAAACTTTAAATAAAACGAATTGTTAATCTCAAAAAACGAAGTAGTAGACGTATTGGACCCATTGTTTTTCTATGGATCTTATATCGTAATGGAAATTATCGGGTTTGGATATTTCTTACATGTGTTGATTTCCATATCAAATGTAATAGCATGTTTGGTAATGATCAGCTATTTATAAATAACAAGTAAACATTTGAAATATATAGTTGGAGTTATTACAAATCAGCAGATCACATAAATATATCATTATTGTAACATGAATTATCCATCAATTGGAAAAACAACTTCAAATACTGATGGATTAAGTCGAGGATTATGCTAGGCAATTTGTTAAACGCAAACAAGAAGACGTAGATACTCTTTCCGAAAGGATGAAGGATGTGAGGTCGTGATATAAATCGGAATAAAAAAAAAACGGTTCAATGAATACACATGCTACACCAGTCTTTAAAGACCCTGTCCTACCTGCATAACAAATATGCTATTGTCCCCGCAGGTAAAGCTAGGAAAAACATCGTTTTTATGTGTAAATCACCTCAAAACAGCTGGATAAAGGAGTTAGGTAGGTATTGACAAATCATTTGGAAACTCAACATATACCCCCACGACACTTACAAAGGAGTAAATCCTGGATGATCATAGGTCTGTTCTATGTTCCTTTGGAATTTCAACCAAAGATGAGGAACTGGATCTTCCTTCACTGTATTTACATCATATTACTGGGTCTTCCAAGTGCTCCTCAAAACCTTCTTCTAAATTATTAATATCTATTTGATCAGCAATCAAAGCCGGGCTTAAAAGGTATTGTGAATCTACCTAATCTAGAGGCGGTATGAATCAGATGTGGATACCTAAATTTTTCTACATTTACACAAGTATTCCCCATGCCAAACTAACAGTCAAATTGACAAAGTTGGTCCTGCTTGGTTTCACAAAAAAATGGCCAACGTAGATACAAGTATCTTGTCTTAGGGAGGGATAAATAGTTCTTTGTAAAACAAATCACTCTGATTCAAACTGAGAATATCAAGATGCTTGATTTCTTATTGACAACAATTTTGTACCGTTTTGGGAACCAACTGTGCCAGCTGTGCCCTTTTCTTTTCAACTTGTTCTTTTATTCATATAAGGCTGACTTCATGCATGAACTTTTTAGGACAAAACTTTACGACATAAGAAATTATTTCAGTTTCCCAATTGTGAACTTTCTATTTCTATGTAGCAACATTCCAACAGCACTTATAGAGTGTATATCTCCAAATTGAAACGATATTCTAGAGCTTGCATTTCCTATTATGATTTCCACGATAGAGGGTTGCTGCTCACAAGGAAGCTATTTAACCAAGAATTTCAGGATGAAGTTGAAATCATTCCTCAGAAAACTTTATGGACGCCTTCACAAATTGGTTCGTCGAAACGGAATATCTGATTCACAGATGACGACGATGTTCCAATCGTCGTAACCACAATCCCGTCCTCCTTTTCCCCGAAAGTGACCTACTGAATTCGACTTATCAACGAGTTTGTACTATCATGAGCAACACGACGGGTGCCCCTTGTGGAGCAGGATCTGCTTATCCTTTCGGACCACCTGAGATCACCCCGGTTTTAGTGGGGTTTGCGTTGCTCTGTCTTTAGCTTTCTTTGTTGTGTTTTGTAAACTGTTTGTTTTTTGGTCTTTTTCTTTTTTTGCCATGGCGTCATCTGTTTATTTTCGCCTTCTGAGTTTGAATGTCCTTTCGGTATCGCTCGCCTTTCTTTTATGATGTAATAACTTCCTATATTGGATGTAATTCGCAAATATTGAAATAACTGTATCATGGTAGCATACAGAAAACTGCTGTTATAGCGTTCAACGATTCAAACAAGCTTAGTTTCAACCAGCAAATTAATTGTGTTTTCCCTTGCTTGTTTTACACTGTAATTGCCTATAGCTTATGAGGTGTTGAAACCCCGAATGCTATGAACTTAGATAAAATACCACTACGTTGAACACAACTTCTATGAATAAATCTTTCCTGTACATTCATTATATTACATAACTTTATATATAATTATAACTATATTCGATTGTGATTGAAAGAAATAGGATAGTTTATTATTATTCTAATGCAATTACACATGTAACGCCAATTCTGATTGGATGACAAATAACATCAATTCCGCGGTTGACAGTTAGAGTCAAAAGCAACAACAGTATTGTATCTGCGTCACCAGTAAAACTGTATTTGCGACCATATAATCCCTAATTGAAAGTTGCAACTCTCAAATACAGTACTGTTACTCCTTAATTGTACCAAGAGGTAGAAGAAAGCAAGGGGGCAATCAAAACCCATTTGTCAAATGATAACTGACAGCGACATGGGCATAAATAAAAGCGACAAAGAAACAAGCAGCTGTTCACAAAATACTAGTCAAAAAAGCATAACAAAAGGAAAACAAACTACAAGGTAAATCCAAAAAGGAGAAGTCGATGAAAACTGACAAAATCAAACGTTGGACTTTACCAACCGACGGGAAGATTGGATCGAAAACAACTGTCATATATATTTCTGACTACGTACATTTCGAATAAAACGTTATCTCTACATCCTCCCATCAAATATTGGGTTATATGTCAGTTGCTACGGAAGGGTAATGAATAGTTTAGCCCTTAAGTCTTCTGTTTAATTATCGAAAAATGCATGTATAAATGTTATATAAGGGCGTATATGGGTCAGTCTAACTGGCTTTAGTTTGGTTTTGAATGCTCTAAACCCGTTTCGGTTTACCAGTTACGAAACGAATATGAAGTTCTAATACTGGTTTGTTCAAACCAGACGAGGATGTTTGATAAGTTTAGGAAACCGGATTACCACATCTGCTTTTTTTTATTTTCTACACTAGTTTTTGGTGAAAACAAATGAACAACACATTTCGGTATCGCACTAGTTCGACATCGGGTTAGAATAACAAATAGAAGACTTATCAAATTTATCGGAAACTGGAACCAGTTAAGAGGCAAGCAATGATAAGCAAGGTAAAGTAAAGTAATCTTTATTTAAATTCGGGTTGTCATATATATAATCAACATAGAACATGTATATGTATTTTCATAGAAAATACAGGACTAGTGTAGTGAAATGCTGAAGCCAGATCATAATTTAACACCATGAAGGGCATCTTGTTCTTGTACACAAGATGTCGGAGATACGGTTTGCAAAATGACGGCCGTTGTTTGTACGTCTTTTATATGATCCGTATTTTTTTTCATAACTATTTGTGCATTTTATGATACAATGAACGCTTAGAGAACTATATCCCGCTGGTCTACTTTCACGCCTGGTTGAACACTTGTCAGAGTTCGTTGAGGATCCAGGATTATAAACATCGCTTTTGCTTAATCTTTCAAAGTAATATCCCTTGTATAGGATCCACCTGTGCTTATTAGATTTAGTGCTTCTTGATGGTGCCTTTCGCTTCCCATTGTTCGTCATGCAGGATAAAACTGTTGTTCCAAAATAGTATGGCTCTCCTATAGAAGGATCTACAAGTTATACGAGATGACTTTCGTTAGTTTTTTCTACAAGTTTCTAACAAGTATATTTATATTCTTTTTATTTCTCTACCATGACAATTGTAAACATGTAATCTTACGCAATATCAAAACTTTCTTAAACTGTTTATTATCTTTGTTATATTCGGTAACCACTTATACCTTATAACATTTTCGTTTCCGCGTTCGCTTTTTCGTGTTAGGTGATATTGATACATAAATGTACGTAAGAAATATATGAATTCAAAAGAGATAAATGGTTAACTGTAGTTGAAGAGCATTCTAACAAACCCAGAAATTTTTTGTTAGATACTGTCATATAAACGTTTACCTTTAAATGCATATATGGTCACTAATGGTATTCTTAGATAGTTGATTGTTTTATATTTACTTTTATACAATCTTTTTTTATTCATATGTATATGGGTCTGTATACGATCTTCAATAACACATAAAAAGCGATAACAATAATGGACATTTGGGATATTAGATTAAATTAAATAGAGAATATTATATGGCTTTTTCGTATCAACCCGAGACACCAATATATTACCAAGAGCTCTGCTCGAGGGATTATATTGGTTGAGGGTTGATGCGGTGTGTGATATTGAAAAAGCCATATCATATACACTTTATTATATACCCAAAGTAGATGTTTTTTTAGACGTGACATGACGAAATATAGACTATGGGTTGAAAAAAGCCTTTGCAACCGTGACTGATATCGATGACGTGACGTCATACAACTTAGGGGTGTGATAAGGCTTTTGCAACCGTGACTGATATCGATATCATCACGGATGGCTGATAGAGCACAATTGTCATTGATTGTGTTACACATACAATTTACCTGTATTTACTACTAAGTATATAATAAGTTCCGGTAATTTACAAATTTAACGAAGTTGTGTTGAGTCTGCTATAATTTTCATAAAGATAAATTTCCAACTATTCTCATATATGTCATAAATTTGTTTTTAAGACGACTTCAAATAAAGGGTATCACAGATAGTATAAGTTGGCTTCATATCCTAGCTTTCATATTGAATTGGCGGTTAGGATCGGTTACGAAATTATTTTACAATAAAACAGGACTTCAATTTTGAATTTTTGTCTGCCAAAACTGTACCAGCAGCTTCATAGAGTATATGTCTCCCAAATGACGAAATATTCCAGCGTTTTCTTTTTACTTTTATAATAGTAATACCAGATTGTTGGCAAAGACGATATTAAACAAAGGGTTCTTCATGGTAAACAGGGGGTTAATCCGTCGAATGGTTGACGGACGCAATCATAATTTGGATTACCATTGTGAAACATCCCTGTCAGAGATGACCGCACATATGTTTTATTTGTCGTAGCCAACATCTCAACCCAATTTCCTCGTTTATGACACCATTGAAGGGTATATTACTGTTTTATTGCTATTCATGCATCAATTACATTTGTTTATAAGCAGTGTTTTTTTTTAAATATTGTTTACTTTCCAAAAATGTGAAGAATGTTTGAGTTGCAGTTAGTTGGCATCACAAATAATCAAACGCAGTTGTATTTGGAAAGCTTACAATATATAATGGTTTTGCTTAGATTGAAAAGGATAATGAAAATTGTACATTTTATTGAGCAATATAAATTAAACAGAACTCTTTCAATTTTTAGCTACTAATATTTTAAATTATGGAATTGGAGGTCATGTGACAATTTACTGGCAAGGTGGTTTCTTTGGGTTGACGGTACAGTCCATACTTATTTCAACGGAACATAAACGATTTATTTGTAACATTAAACATTAACAGTTAATATTAAATGCATAGAGAATTTTATTCCATTTGGATGCATTTGTTCTTTACTAAATAACATTGCATGAATCGTTTTGAAGGATGTTTAATGTATTTCAAACAGCATGTTAAACAAGTTGAAGTCATTATACTGATGAAAAATTCATGACATAGAAAAATAATGAAATATTGTGTGATTTGTGTTGAGCCAAATATCCATATATATACTAGTATATATATACAGTGTCTAAAAATAGCAACAATCAACATTCAGTCTATCTAGGCGTGGATCAGTTTGTAAGTAAACTGATGCAGTTACTACATTAAATTATAAAAGTGCCTAAGAATGTAACTTTAACACACTAATGAGTGTTATAAAATTAGTTGTTATATTTTATATTATTCACGCAATATTTCGCTAAACAAATTAGCTTCATCAGGCGCGTGCAGCCAACCAGGTAAAAGACTCTTTAGAGGCTGTAAAGAAATTTTTGCAGCTCAATGTTAAATGTTTAGAAAAATATTTTTGCCGCTTATTGTACATAGCAATTCTTAAATCAAAACAAATAGTTGTTTTAGTTGAATAGAATGAAGTTCAGGATTTATTCCTTTATTTTTGGGTAGAACTGTTTTTCATCTCTCTCATTAAGTCCATCAGGTTCAAGAGTACGTAGCTGATGCATCCAGAATCTTTCTCTCTGTTTTCTCCTTTGGGAGTCCCAATTTTGGTTTACCTCAATTATTTGAAAGGTGATATTTTCAAAAGTATGCCCTGTTCTTAAGAGGTGTCTCGTAATTGGACAGTTTCTTCCTTTTGTATAAAAAGACCGGTGATTGTTAAGTCTGATGTTGAATTTAGTTTCTGTTTCACCAACATACTGAAGCTTGCAAGTTCCACAAGTAAGAATATAAATACTATTTTCCGTTTTGCAATTAGATGTAACATAGATGTGGAATCGCTGCTTTGTGACTGTGCTGCTGAAAAAGTGGTCAGTGTTGGCGATTTTCAGCACTTACAATTGGTTGTTTTTTGACATCACAGACGCTTTTGATAAAGCCCAAGAAAAAGATCGATATATCCTCATGGAATACAAAGATAAGACGACCCGCGCAGATAGAATTCCGTTTGTCACCTTCCATCCCGATTTGACAAATATTTCATCTACTATCCGCAAGTACTGGCGTCTTATCGAAAATGACTCTTCCTTAAAAGAAATGTTTCCATCACCTCCTGTTATTGCATATCGCAGACCCAAAAATCTCAAAGACATACTTATCACATCTAAAGTAAAGAAACAAGAGACTTCTAAGATTTGGTGTTACAAACAATGCGGAAGAACCAATTGTAAGTGCTGTAAAGTCGCCAACACTGACCACTCTTTCAGCAGCACAGTAACAAAGCAGCGATACCACATCTATGTTACATCTAATTGCAAAACCGAAAAAAGTACTTATATTCTTACTTGTGGAACTTGCAAGCTGCAGTATGTTGGTGAAACAGAAACTAAATTCAACATCAGACTAAACAATCACCGGTCTTTTTATACATAAGGGAGAAACTGTCCAATTACGAGACACCTCTTCAGAGCAGGGCATACTTTTGAAAATATCACCTTTCAAATAATTGAGGTAAACCAAAATTGGGACTCCCAAAGGAGAAAAGAGAGAGAAAGGTATTGGATGCATCAGCTACGTACTCCTGAACCTGATGGACTTAATGAGAGAGATGAAAAACAGTTCTACCCAAAACCAAAGGAATAAATCCTGAACTTCATTCTATTTAACTAAAACAACTATTTGTTTTGATTTAAGAATTGCTATGTACAATAAGCGGCAAAAATATTTTTCTAGACATTTAACATTGAGCTGCAAAAATTTCTTTACACACTCTAACGTTTACCTGGTTGGCTGCACGCGCCTGATGAAGCTAATTTGTTTAGCGAAATATTGCGTGAATAATATAAAATATAACAACTAATTTTATAACACTCATTAGTGTGTTAAAGTTACATTCTTAGGCACTTATACTAGTATATATATATATATATATATATAATTACCATTGCATTTGTAACGCTTTATGTTGCCAGTCCACCAACCAGCGGAGTTAGTTACTAGTACTACTAACAACAAGAAGATTATCTGCATCAAAAAATATCATCAATACATAATTAACAATGAAAATATACTAATATGCGCATAAAATATACACAGTGTTTTATAATTAATAATGTTATTTGGTAAGAATCACCTACTGTTAATTATGAATTTCAATTCTACCAAAATATTTAAAATGTTTGAAAATGAACTCCCACTTGCATTATTAAATAGGAAATTGTGGTTATAAAACATGCCATTGATGATTGAAAAGTATGACAAAATACGTATTCGAATTTCGTACTTATTCTACGGAGTAAATCAATACTTTCAGGATTTTAGATTATAGTTCCATGCTAGTAAATACTAAAATTTCCACATAAAAATTTTAATTATCCATTATGAATTCCAAGCAGCTGAAGAAATATGAATTGATGAACCAAAAACTAAAATCAGTAGAATAAAATATTCACTTCAAACAAACAAACAAAAGAGAAATACAATACATATTAATCAAAACAATTGCAAAGTGAGTAATTGTCAACGTTAACATAAATCCTTGAATATAATGCGTATATTAATAAACAACAAATTATTAGTAGAAAATTTGATTTGCATTTCATATGAATACATTTTACTACTGTGTTGTTCCTTTTCTAGGTTTGTATGCTTTATTCAATGATTAACAATATTTGCATATCGTCGAAAATATTTTTTTTAAATATGTGTAGGAGCTTGAGCTTTGGAAACAGGACAAGTAAAAATCAAATAGTATATTTTGCGACAATCTACATATATTTTTTTATCATCAAATTTAACCTTTGAACACTTTAATTCTTTTTTTTTCAATTTCAAATCGTTCATTTGGATTTGTATAAAACTTGACATTGCTTTAACGCGGACAGCGATGAGGACTAACAAATGGACTGTGAAATCAATAGTTATTTTAACATAACTGTTGTATTAACATATATTCAGGATAACAGGATACACAAATAAAGCAGATATTAATTAGTAGACATTTTATTTGTATAATAATTTACTGATTGCAAAATCAAAATGTATTACATATAATATATCTAGTCCCTATGCAGAATGTGGCTAGTTCAAAATGCG